TTCCCCCCACCTTTCTTCCTTCCCTCGCCCTCCTCTGCTCCCCGCTGCCCTGGAGCAGAGTCAGGCCCCAAGCCCAGGGGTTGCTCTGGCGGCCGGGGGCTCCCGCGCTGACCCCTGACCTCTCCCCCCCAGCGCGGACCAGGCGCTCGGCACCCTGACCATGCGGAAGTTCTGCGAGGACAAAGTGGCCGCGTCCCTGCAGCCATCCCAGCAAAGGTGAGGCGGGGGCGGAGGGGGATGTGATGACCCTTAAGGGACAGGGGAGGGTCCCCACTGGCTGGCCCCTCCCCCCAGCTCCACGGCAGGACTCTGGGGCTGAGCTGTCCCCCCTGAACCCCCAGGTACATCAGTTACTTCAGCAGGCTGCTGTCGGGCACCATCAAGATGAACAGCAACACCCTGTTCCTGCACCACGTCCTCATTCCCGCCATCCCCAACTTCGAGGCCAGCGGAGGTGAGTGCCGACGATCACACGTGCAAAATGTGGGCACCCACGCAGGTGAACCAGCCATTGTGCGCAAAACAAGCGCGCCCACATGGGTGAGCCTGCCATCGTGTGCAGAATGGGCACACTCACACGGGCGTGAGCCTGCCAGCGTCAGCAAAATGTGCACCCTCACACACAAATGAGCACGCATGTGTGACCCGGCAGACCCGTGCAAAACGTGTCTGTTTGCAGGCACACCAACCCAACGGGGCGTGCAAGCGAGCACTCGTGAACATGCTGATGTGTGCAAAATGGGCACACGTCCACACACACTAGCCCATTGGCATGTGCAAAATGGGCACGCTCACACGTGCAAATTTGCCGGGGTGTGCAAACTGGGAGCGTTCCCAGGCACAAACCTGCAGGCGTGTGTGAAGTGGGCACGCGTCGCGTCGCGCGCACCCAGGCGTCCCAGGGCACACACGCGTGTGAACCGGCAGTGCTGTCCTGGGTGTGCAGGCACACACCCAAACGGGCCTGCACGCATGGGTGTGGCATTGCACCCTCGCCAGGGAGCTCACGCCCCTGTGTCCTGAGCCAATCACGAGGGCTCCCTGCCAGCCTGGCTCAGCCCTTGGCTGGAGCAGCCTGCCCCCTTACCCTCTGCCCCTCTCCCCCTCTCTTAACCCGTCCCTCCCGCCCTAGGCTACCAGCCCTTCCTGAAGATCTACCAGTCCATGCAGCTCGTCTACACCTCGGGGATCTAGTGAGTATGAGGCGCTTGCTGCATGGGAGCTGCTGGGCTGTGGGCCCGTCCCCCAACGCTCTGACCCCAGCCCCGTGTTTCTCTGCCCTCCCTTACAGCAGTGTCCCGGGCCCCGGCCCCCAGAAGCTGTGTGTCACCCTGGAGCCAGCCCTGCTGCTGAAAGGGGACGTGATGGTGAGTACGGCCAGCTCCAGGAAGGGGCTTCCCGGGGGGGGGGCTCTGCTGGGTAAGGAGTGGGCACAAAGTCCAGAGGCCCCCCCCCCGCCCCCCGGCTCTGAGCCCGGCAGGGAAGGGGGCTGCTAGCAACAGAGCAGGAGGAACCGAAGAGCTGAGGCTCTGCGAGGCAGGCAGTGGGTGTGAGCATGGGGTTGTGCACACCCAGGATGGGGGGGTGCAAATGGGTGTACACGTGGGGGGTGCCAGTGTGCACAAATGGCAGGTGAGTGTGCCCATGTGTGTGTGCATGGGGGTGTCACTGTGCACAATGGGTATGTACGAGCGTGTGCGCATGGGGGTCTGAGGGGGCGTGCACAAGAGGGGGTGTCACTGCACAATGGGTGTGTACGAGCGTGCCTCTGTGTGCACATGGGGTGATCCACGTGTGTGGGCGTGCACAGACATGGGCGTGCAGGGGGGCCTGTGGACGTGTCCATGGGTTTGCATGTCCCTGGGGGGGCTGGGGGCCCCCGTGTCAGTGCTGACTCCACCTCCCCCCCCCCAGGTGAAGTGCTACCACAAGCAGACCTGCAACTCTGACCGGGACGTGGTTTTCCGCGTCCAATTCCACACGTGCACCATCCACGGTGCCCAGCTCTGGTTCGGGAAGGACGAGCTGGACGAGGCCTGGCAAGGTGAGCAGGGCAGGGGGCGGTGCCACGGGCAGCCTCCAAACGGGGCAGCCACCTCCCCGGGGGGCCGACCACTCCCGGCCCTGGGCTGCTCCCGGGGCACCTGCATGCGGCTCAGCACCCCTGTATGCACCTCGTGGTAGTGACCGGTCCTGCCCCAGTGCCTGGGACCCCTCTGCTCCCCCTGCCCCCCAGTGCCTGGGACC